TTTCCCGGGAAACAGGCAGAACACACCGCGAAGGGGCGGTCAGCCGTTTACCCCGAGAGCATCATCGGGCGGTCAGGGAACGAGAATGGAGATCCCATCACTCACACCAGTGCGAATTCACTCACCAAGATCGACTGGAAGTATTCCGTGGGCAGTGCTCAACGCACCTAGATTCTACGACCCGATCACGGAAACGGATCCGCAGTACAACATTATTATGGATCCAAAGGTCACCCTCACAGAGGAAGAAAAGAAGGCCGTAGCAGAATTCAACGAAAAATGTCGCGAATTCGTCCAACTTCATAACGACGTCAACGAGAATCAAGCGCAATACAGGACGGCCCGAAGAAGTCACAAGATAACTAGGGGGACCCACCTTCATATGAAGCTGGACAAACATGAAGCTGAAGGGTTGAGAAAAGAAAGGGGTGTCGAGATCAGGACACTGAGGAACAGTAATCCAGTGTTGCGCAACAGGGATGGCCAAGCGCAATCAAGACGATACTGATCTTCCTCAACCTGATTCCTCCTGAACCGAAAGAACAAGAACAGGAAAGAGGAGTCAAAACTCCGGCCGAAGAAAGCCCCACTACGGAAGAGCACACGGCCAAGAAAACGAGGAATGACCCGTTTCAGCCTCCGAGTGATCCATTGGTAACTCGAGAAAGACTGTTGAGAGAAAGAGATAAACTCGACAGAGAAATCATGGAATTGAGGTCTCGCACGACATCAGTGGTACAGTCAGGATTGTCATGTGCTAGCCCGGCAAGAGATAGTCGACCAAAACAGAAAGAAGTTAAAGGTCAACACCCGGCGGAGGAAGGTCACACCGGTCAGAAAGAGATACCGGAAGATCATCCTGGAGGGAGCACGCGAAGGGGCGTAGCTCGCGAAACAAAATGCAGATCGCATACCAGAGTTTTCCGTTGCAAGGATAAAACAGAAGGAATAGTTAGCGCATTCCTGGTTCACAGAGACACAGATGAACCTATTCCGTCAATGGGAGAAGGAGCCGATCAAGCAACGTACCAAGTGATGTGTAAAGGAAGCCAGCGATGCGGCAGATCAAGCTATCGGCGAACTCTTCAAATCGGAGCAGAATAATCCGACCATGATAGGAAGAGTCCTTAGGGATCTGCTGAGAGATACAGCGTTTAAAGAAAAGAGGAACATTATGGTTACGGTGGACGCAAAGGGCAAGATAGAGAAGCAACTCTATAATTCACAAGGAGAAAAGATCGATATGCTTTCACACGGAGCATACCCGGCGTCAGGTGCGAAGGGGAACGAGACGGAAGAATCAGGAGAAGGGCAAGAAGACTCAGGAGACGAGAACCCTCCGTACAGAGAAACAGTGTGCAGATGCCTAAAGGTCAACTACCACATGGCGGACGGAGATGAGGGATACGTCTACGGCTACATCATTGACCCAAAGACGATGTTGCCAATTCCGAGCGCAGGAACGAATGCGACTCCACAGGAAATCGAATGGTAAACCCAGAAATTGTACAGCGATCTCCAGAAGATGCTGAATCTCCTTCCGGAAGAGCAGAGGAATGATGTCAACGCGAACATCAGAACGGTGATGAGCATGCTCAGACACAGAGCCGAAGAAGATAATGCCCACATCGTAATCTTCTGGAAAGATGATCAAGGGAAGTGGAAATCACTCTTCGATTCTAAAGGTCAAGGACTTTACTTTCCGGAAAATCATCAAATTCACCCGACGGAGGAAGGTCACGTCGCGTTTATAGCGGTCAGCAGCCGGTCCAAGCAGAAGCCATGGAAACACAGGAAGAAATCGATCGAAGATCGCCATGTAGACGAATCGACTACAAATTCATGAACCAAGAAGGCAGAGAAGGGATCCTCAGAATCGAAGCGGTCGATCCTCAGACGGGACAAATGGTGTCAAATGCAGGCTTCACCCCAGAAGAGGAAGAAGAAGAAACCCCAAAACTCATGCAGGAGGTCGAGGAAGTACTGCAGGTCCTGCCGCAAGAGGAAGAACGCGAAGAATTCGAAGCGATAGCCGAAGTGTTGGTCAACGTCATGATGCCAAGAGCACGCCAGGACCGGGCATATATGCGCCTGACACATATCGACCCTTTCCATGGAGAAGTGTATAAGCAACTCTACACCGCAACCGGTGAAACGCTGACCAAACTGTCAGGAGCGAAAAAGGTCAAGAAACCGGCTGAGAAGGGTCAGCCTGAAAAAGTTGAGACAGAAGAGAGAACAAAAAATCAAAAGGTCAAGAGACTAAGGAAAGACCGGACGAACGGGAGGTCAAGAAGGAAGAACATCCGACTCCCGTAAGAAGCGCTGAACGGGTTAAAGCCATAGTCGCAGGAGAAGTCCCGGCACATTCGTGCCAGGATCCCAAATGCGAAAGATGTCGAAGAGACGAAGATAAGAAGACGAAAACGAAACCAGCAAAAAGTACGGCACGAGAAGGTAGCGTCGGTAAAACTTTCGTCAAACAGCCGAAACTACTGGGAGTTATGGAAAAGAAAAGAGAGAAACCCGAGTCGGATTCTGAGCCAGAACAATTGTCTATCAGCGTTAAACCTGGTTCATCACAAGTTGAGACTGAAGACGAGAAAGAGAAAGGTCAATCACATAACGTGATGGAAGAAGCAATGTCGATGCAGCCGATTTACGCATCCACCATGAAAAAACGTAAAGAGAAGACGGAAAGAGAGAAGAAGAGAAGGGATACTTCAGATGAATCGGCGAAATCAGAAGTTAGCATTGCATCGTCAAGGTCATCGATAAAACAGAAGGACACGAAAAAGAAAGGTCAAAAAGATACAAGGAAACCTGACCCTAGCTTGGCAGATTATATGGATGCGCAAAAGAAACAGAAAGCACCACCAAAGAACAGTCTCATCGGGAGAGTCGATGCAGCTGACACCGTGAATTGGAAACCTGCCGAAGGGGACAGCGAAATGGATTACACGGACGATGAATATGACGATCGCTTCTTCGTCTGCGAAATGAACGACGAAACAACGATAGAGGAAGTAGATGAAATCCTCATCGGAGCGACAGCGGACTGGGGAAAAGCGACCAGATCAGTCACGTCGAAGTTCAGAAAGGACGTGAAAGAATATTGCGCAGAGAAAAATAAAAGATTGCCACAGAGCAAATATAATGCCGTTCTGGAATATGCAAGGAGCACGGGGAAAGTCCTCCAGAAACATCCTAAATATGGCTCCAAGGCGAAGCTGTAGATCACAGGGAACAATAACAAACCAAAGTTGGCTACAGCGAACGCGGATATCCGAGAACGAATTGAACGCGCCATCATCGGGATGTGCAGTCCGATGGGTACGGCGAAACACCGCATGGCGCAGTTCATTAACGGAGTCTGGAGCAAAGAGAAGGGAAATGCTTCAGTCATCGAAAGGTCACTCGGAAAATCATTAACCCAGATGGTTGCGGAAGGAAGCTCCACACAACAAATCCTCACAAAGGTGTGACCATCAGATACAGCTCCCTGAATGCGGTACCCGAAGAACTGAGAACTTACCAGAAAGAGGAAACGAGCGAAGATACCACTAAGATATTGGATCCGAGACTCGATGTGGAGAGGCCCATCTTGAGTCAGATCAAATTAAATAGTGGTCAAGCAGCAACCTCATCACAGAAAGAGAAAGAAGAACAAGAAGAGGAACCGATGGTTGTCGAAGAAGAGGTGGTCGAAGAAAAAGAAGCAGAAACGGTCGAGAAGGGCAAACCGAAACTGCACGCGCCGAAATCAGCCGAAGAAGCGATTGCGTTGGTTGGACCGCCGAAACCGATGTCGGTACCAGAAGCACTTGCGGCAGTAAGAAGTCAAAGGGCAAGCGGTGGACCCGGTTCATTAGCGGAAATTCAAAAGATCCACCAATCCACAACACCATTGACACCGTTGAAAGTTGCGCACGAAAAAAGGACGCAAGGCGAAGACGAGGCGAAAGGTCACATTGTGGAAGAAACGGTCAAAGGTCATCAGACTTCAGCGCAAAGTTCAGCCGGGGGGGGGGAAGGTCACCCGAGCCCAAGCCAAGAGAAGACGGTTAAGTCACAGCTAGTGCAGCCATCACTGAAGGAAGAAAAAGAACAGCCTTTCGAATTGTTGGAAGAGGAAATCATCGGCGGCAAACCAGCTTACATGAGTGTCGATGACCTCGACGAAAGCAATGTTCCGTGGATGACGATTTACGCCGCGATTGGTGCAGCTCCGGCGAGACAAATGGATAAGACGAACATCGCTAAGGCAGTTAGCGACGCGGGAGTCAGCAGGACACAAGTTAACAAGATCATAAAGAGGGCATATAAGGAAGGGAGAATCGGTGTAAAATACACTGATACGAATGTTCCGATCCACTACATTCCCCCAGCGGAGGACCAACGAAAGCAAAGACCGAAGCCGGGTCCTCAAGCATGGAAAGACGCCCTTATCAAAGATGCCTTGCAGAATATCGGTGGCACTAACGGGTTCACTCAAGAAGACGTGTCCAACTACATGGCAGTTCAATATGACTCTGGTCAAGAAAACATGAACGGCGATCGATTCAAGGTCCAGAACGCACTGGATAGTCTTGTTAAAGACGGAAAAATCAGAACGTGGAAGAGAAACGGAATCGATCGTTCTGACTGGATCGCAAAAGCTTAAAAGAGAAAGTGTAGTGTGGGAGGAAGGTCCACCACACAAGATGAAGAATCAGAATCAGAAATGAGAATGAATACGCAGAGCGTGACTTACTTTCGAACCACACTCTGCAAGAAGAGTAGAATTAGCGAAGGGGCTAAAGTACTTAGCGAACGGGCTAAGATGGGAAAGGTCACCCATACAGTTGAAAATGGTTCAGTCAAATAAGGATGACAAAGGTCATCATGGAAAACAGCGAGAAAGCCTCAGCTCAGCACCACAATAGTCTAGTTAACTTAGGCGTAAAATAGGCGTTCAAGAAAGGGTATCTTTGAAAGGTCGTAGGAATTATGATGTTCAGATTACAGGTTGAATGACGAAAATGGCCGAACGGGGTCAACCAACTAGGAAGGGTCAGGATCAGAAGAAGGACGTACCAACGGGAGACCCGATAACGAACTACAACGAGAATTGTCCGCATTGTAAGCGGAACAACGCCGTAGGCAACGAGCGATATCCATGCTGGACATGCATATCAAAGATGCCGACCTTCGCACAGCTCGTGATACAAGAATCAAAAAGGGGGAATCTTGCTGTGTTTCGCGGGGCAATCAGAGGAAATAACTGGAACAGAGTGCCCGTGGAGGATAGAATGATCCTCGAGGATAAGTACCGCTCTTGGGTGAACAAAAGAGCCGGATGGGACGCCACGTTGGAACCTCCCAAATGCGCGGAAACAGACGCATACCGAAAGGGCTTCAAAGAAGAGACTGCGAGAATGGTACAGGCTCAACGCGAAGAAGAGAAGAAACGAGCAGAAGCAAAGGCTGCAGCAGGAAGGGCAAAAGCCTCATTCATTCCTGTGGCAGTTCTTAAGAGACAGGATGGTGAGGAAGCAGCCGTACTCAGACAGTCCCTGATACAGCAGATCGATATCATCCTAGCGGATCCAGTCGCCATTTCCAAAAACGAATATGCAGTCTACCTACGGGAAAAGGTCAGCCTAACGAAGGGAAATCCGCCATCACAGGTGATCAAGATTGCGGTCGAAGAACGGATTGAGAGAATGCGCCAATTCCGAGCGCAGGAGAACGAAGTAACTCAAGCGTTCAGAAACTTCAAGAGAGATGAATTTAAACGATCGAAATCACCTGAAAGGAGCAGATATGAGTCGGACTTAGGAAGGGCAGCCGACAGAGATCAAAGGTCACGAGGACATGAAAGGTCATTAGATCGTTCTCGTGAAAGGTCACGGGATTTTGATCGCTATGATCGAGATCGAGGACACGTCAAAGACACGCGTTCTGCTGAACAGAAGAGAAAGGATGACGAACGCATTCGTCGTGAACGAGACGAAAGGGAAAAGTGTCGCAAAGAAGCAAAAGAGAAACGCATTGCAGAAGAGTATAAAAAGATCAACGATGAGATCAGTAACCAGCAGAGCAAGGGGCACGCTGGGTCGAAAAGTCGTGACACGCAACCTCGTGGTCAGTATAAGGAAGGTCAAAGTGGAAGCTCCGGCAGTTCAAAGAGGAGCCCGTTTGAAGAAGCTTGGGTTCAAGATAACCTACATATGGAGGATTATGAATTTGGAGATAATACGTACAACAGCAAAAGGTCATCAAGCTCGGAAAGTCACCGCGCTCGAACTCCGAAGAGCCCTCGCAGGTTACAATCCACAGTTTTTGTCGTAGCTTCAAAATTCAAGTCGGCTGAAAAGCGTCCGGAAGAACCGATGGAATGTGGCTCATCGCCAAAGGTCATCGAAGTTCCCGTAGGGGAAGAAATGCCGGAGTCAAGGCGGAACATCATATTTGACCTAGATCGGGACTTGTCAAACTTATCAGTGGCGAGTAACGCACCGCCAAACGATGGGGAGAAAGGTCAAGGAGGAAGCGAAGTGCAAAGCCGCATTCAACGGCAACCGTCATTGAAAACTATCGAATTGGTGTATGACATGACAGATATCCAGCAGCAAGTCGACGAAATTACCCGTACACTGGGAGTCGAAAGAAACTCTGAGGATTCGAAAAAGATATACACCCTACTCTTCAATGTGAGACAAGTCCTATTGGATTCAAGTCAAGCGGAAGAATATGAATACGGCCAGTGGGAAGACCTGATTATAACGCAGGCTTCGGCGAATCTCCACTACTTCCCGATGCGAGAATGTGGACTCGTCAGTTTGATTGACCTTAGTCTGCTAGAAACTCCGCTTGATACACCTGATCCGACTGGAATGACTCAGTTCTGTTATCGAGATATCAAGGAAAGGAGACTGCATTTGGCTCAGTTTGTCCTGCGTCATACGAACCCGGCGCTGAGACTTCTCGCAGGAAGGGCTGCGATGGGGCTTGAAGTCGATGAACACTCGTCATTCGAACACCGAATTACGGTCCAAAAGATTTTGGCGGCACGACTTGGCCATTATCAGACGCACCACTAATTAAGAAGGGATCTGCAAGCAGGACTCATACCTGCTCCGCTCATCGCCCAGGCGACGAAGCTGGGACAACCCGTCGCGAACATCAATTGTTCCGAAACGGCAAAGCGCCAGCTGCGGGATTATCAAATCGCAATGAATAACGAACAACTGAAACGTCAGTTCGAACTGGACTTTCACCGCTGCGCAGAGCGAATCCGTCAGACGATGGGGACAGGGTTCAACCAACCTGCGGATTTCGTATACGATTTCATCAAGGAGATCAGTGTCGATAAGAAGAGCTTTCGACCAGAACTGGCTATGAGGATGCCAAGTGATGGACCGGGTCGACGTGGCCGTAGAAATCAACGGTTGAACGAGGAATACCAAGAAGCGTTTCAACGTAACGTCGATAATCCGCTGAGTCGCAGACTGGAGAAGCAAATGGAAGACGCTCGAGAAAGGATCGAGCGTGTGCGACGCCGTCGAGACCGCAGCGGACGTAACAGTGCCCAGAAAGGTCACGAGAGTGAAGAGGAAAGTCAAGAAGGGGAACTTGAAGAACCCCGAGACTGGACGTCAGACCGCAATTAGCGAAGTAACTGGCGTCGACGGAATCGCGATAACGACTCAAATGAGCAGTGATGACCTTTCGGGTCATCAACCGCACATGTTGTTACGGCCATCAGTCGGCAACATGAAGAAGGGTGTTAACGGTAATGTATCAGGGCGGAAGGTCGTCACGTATTAAAAATGTCATGCCATTCGTGTTTTTGTTGTTTTCAGTGTTTAAGTTTCAGGCTACAAATAGCCGGGCTACGGTGACAAAAGATGTCGGCCCGAAGAGATGAGTTGCGGAGTTAACCGGCTCTCTTACAATTCAGCGTCATTCAAAGGGTGATGTGACGACCTCGAAGTTGGGTTGGCTCACCTATCATGGGGCCACAAGCGGCGAGAAAGAGAAAGATTTGCAAATTTCCAAATAGCCGGGCTACGGTGACAAAATATGTCGGCCCGAAGAGGAGAGTTACGGCGTTAATCGGCTCCCTTACCCAGATTCAGTGTCACCTTAAAAGGTGCAGTTACGACGTCGCAGTTGCGTCGGCTCACCTAACGAATGTCGGGCTACAAGGGGCGAACAAGAAAGGAAATACCAAATAGCTGGGCTACGGTGACAAAATATGTCGGCCCAAGGAGATGAGCTACGGGGTCAATCGGCTCTCTAGCCTGAAAAGGCGAAAAATGGATGTGCGACCGGCGCGACAAAGCCGGAATGATGACGAAAAAGAATGACAAAGGGAGGCAAGCAGAAATGTTTGAAAGCCACGAAAAATCGGCTGAGTTCCTCCATGACCTTTAATGCTGAATCAATGTGAAGTCGGATGGCCTTTGGGATAACTATTGCCCAACGAGTCGCACATCCAGATGGATGACCTTTGAGACCGTCACAGCTCAGAGTCATTTAAAAAAGAAAGAAAAGAAGGAAAAGTCAATTACCAGGGAGGAAGCTTTCAAGCCTGTCATCAAAACGTCCCTCCATGACCTTTACGGAATCTCAGTAATGTTGATGGAAGTATTCAAAAGAAGTACGGACGATACGCACTCAATCCAAAGATGAAGAATCAGTATTCCTAAGTCGTACAGTGATACGTACCTATTCCTAAAAGCGGATCTCATTGTGATGAAAAGTCGCATCCAATTGCGCGAAATTGCTCACAGAGCGGAATGGACCAAGCGGATTACGGTTGACAGGACCCAGTGACCTTTATGAGTCGGAGGATCCTAGTCGTTTTGATTACGAATTCTGTTGATATTTTGTATTGTTTTACTTTTGTTTCGAGATCTCTTTATTCACATATGTAATTGGAATTTGTGATGTTAAAAGGAGATAAAATCTCGATGTTTTATTATGCTACAGACGAGCCGTCAAGGATCCCAAGAACTGGACGTGATATTGCTTTCGACGGAGCTCAGCATCCTCTCCTAGATGTGAGCGCAGGCGTACATGCGTACACCCTCGCTTTGGCAGTCTGGTGTTTCATTGCGCGCCTGCCTTACGCGTGGCGAAAGCATGTGTTCTGCGCGCACCCGCACCATGTGGCGGTTACGTGCGCCTTTCATGCGCTTGCTGCAGTCAGCAATGCGAAGTTGCCCATTCGGGAATTCTATCGAATTCAGTCAGTGTTTTATAAATTCCTAGCAATCTCGCCGTTTCTCGCTTTCTGTAGCGTAGCCGCTGTATAGCATTGCCAGGTCTTTTGGCAGGCAGAATCACGTCAATTCTGATCCTGCGGTGTGAACCTTACCAGGTTCCCACCTCTTAAGCACATCAACCCGGAACCTTTTAAATTTGACACAATTGATTCAGTTCTTGCGCTTAGCAAAAGGGGATCATATTTTGCAGTTGTGGATATCCAGTCGGCTTATCGTTGGGTGCCAGTATATCCACCGCACCGGCAGTTGCAGGGGTTTCGTTGGCAATTTAAGGACAGCGAGGAGCAGTTTTGTGTGGATAACTTTTTATGCTTCGGGCTTGCAAATGCTCCTTACATTTTTCAAACGATATCGGCAGCAATTACACGGGCAATGCGCAGAAGGGGTTTTAAAATCGTATGCTACCTTGACGATTTTATCCTTATCGCAAAAAGCGAAGAGGAATGCAGAATAGCCCAGCAAGCGCTCATCGCGCTTCTTGTGCAGCTAGGTTTTGCAGTAAAATGGGATAAACTAATCAGCCCATCGCAGAGAGTGAAGTTTTTTGGGATCATCATTGATTCTGTAGCAAAGTGTTTAGCAGTCCCGCAAGAAAAAATGCACGAATTAAGCAGTTTAGCGTTGCAGTTTAGCCAACTGTTAAAGGTCACCAAACGTGAGTTGCAGTCTATTGCAGGTTTAATGTCGTTTGTATCTCGTGCCGTCTACGGTACGCGGACATTTTCAAGGCTATTTTTCGACCGAATACAGGAATTGGACGCTCCCTCACATCGAACGCGCGTGACGGCAGTCTTAGCAGATACTTTAAAATGGTGGCATTGTTTTGCAGGGAGAGTGAACGGCTTGGTACGATGGCCTAATCTGAAAGCAGATGCAGTAAAATTTACACGGACGCGTCGCTTCAAGGTTTCGGCGCGGTATGTGAGAACCGGTATATGGCGGGCAGTTGGATGCAGCAGGGAAAACAGGTTAACACCCGCATGGCAGACAACTGGGCAACAACGCCTTATGTGTCAGATTCCTTAAGGGACAACATTAACTTCTTAGAGTTAATAGCAGCTTGCATGGCAGTCTTAATTTGGTCCGAGGAATTAAAAGATAAGCAGATCATTGTTGTTTCTGATAATGCAGCAACAGTATCGTTCCTGAATCGAGGGACAACGCGCAACGCGGAAGCGCTGCAGTGGTTGAAAATAGTCTTCTACCAATCTCTCAGGCATAGTTTCCGCTTGACAGAAGAACACCAACCGGGGCTGGATAACACGGCTGCAGATGCACTGAGCCGTGTTGCCATTTCTGAAAATGAAGTTAGCAGATTTTTTTCTGTATTTTGCAGGTCACGGTATGCAAGCCTTCCGCTTACCCACGCAGAGCAGTATCCAACTCGAACGACTGGAGAAACAGCTTGCAGTTTTGCGAGCGCAGCTATCGCAGATACCTCGAAGAAGACTAGAGTGTCTCAGTGGAAACGGTACCTCGTGTTTTGCAGTGAATTCAATTTCCCACCGCTTCCGGTGGATACGCATACTGTTTGTTTGTACATGGCATACCTAGCAGAGACCCTCGAATTTGCCACAGTGCAGAATTACGTGTCGAGTTTGAGTTTACTGCACAATATAAATGGCATGGAAGCACCCGTCCTTTCGCATTTTTCAATCAGGCAGGCACTGGCAGGCTTGCAGCGCAGCAGACTTGAACGACCTTTCCAGCGTTTGCCAATCACGGCTGAACACCTCCATGCATTGTACGCCGCTTTAGCAGCCATCGAGCCGCACGCCAGGCTGTGTTTCTGGACAGCTTGCGTTGTGGCATTTTATTCACTTCTTCGGCAGGCAAATTTGTTTGTAAAGCAGAAGCAGACGGGACAGCACCTGACTTGGCAGCGTGTGGAGTTTTCCGGCAGACGCAGTGTAATTCTTACAGTTCCCGTTATGAAAACGGCTAAATCTAAAGCACAATGTAAGACTTTCAGGGACTTTCAGTTTTGAACTGAGGACAGGGCAGTTTTTCTGTCAATTTAAATGCTACGTCTATAGGTACCAAACTTAAGACAGTCCAATTTTTTAACTGAGAAGGAGCCCGTATTTGCTTGTCTTTTCTCCCTTTTTGGTAATGCTTTGACACATTTCTCCTGTTTTTAACGTTGTTGTACCACTTCTAGCGTTCATTTGGCGTCAGACTTGTTAGAATATATAACATTTTGACACGATTTTGTAAGGCTCCAATGAATTTTTACTTAGATTTGGGACTTTTGCTTTTAAAATGATCTTAGTGTATTTTGTTATAATTGATTCAGTTATTTGATGAGAAAGTGAGGGAAATAAATGTGTATACATTAACGTGTGGTTTGTATCCTTGAAACTTAAGGGGACCGCTAGCCGCTGCATTTTAAGTTTGACCGCTTTCATAAACTTGCCAAGTTTTATATGCCCTTGTAGTAGTTGTACTTTAAAAACCATGACCGGGTAAGCAGTCATCGAGTAAACACACTGCGGTAGCCGGCTGGCCATGGCCATATACACCTGCGGCAGGCAGGCGGGCAGACGGTATGTCCAAGCCAGTGGACATAGGACAGCGAGTTTCTGTCTCTCCTGAGTGGTCTGCCCGACCTCTTTGTGTGCTAAAAGCGCGCGCATGGCCAGCCGGATCAGCTACGATGAGCAGCCTGTCTGCCGACCATTCTTTGGTTGCAGTTTTGAATAACACAAAATTCATGACTTTGAAAATCTAAGACTTGAGAACTAAGCATGGTATGGACACAAAACCAACATCATAAGTCAGCTCTTTCCAGAAAGCTTGTATACCAAAACAGCGGTGGCATTCACTATAACACAACCCATAAAAATGGAAAAAAACTGTTTTGGAAAAGTGTTTTTTGCATTTTATTCAAGCTACGTTTAAATTTGCTTCAGGATGTTCGGTATAAGCTTTCCAGTCAGAAACACATTCACTGATGCGCATTTGATTTAAAACGAAGAAACTTTCTCACTCAGTATTTCAGTTTGAAATGTTTTGTTTGTATGATGAATAGCTGGGTCTAGACACAGGACAGAGAGGATCGCGCTACACCTTTGTGTAGCTAAATTCTCTCTGCGTTCACCCAGAAGAGTGAACACACATATCCGGTCACCGTTCCCAAGCTATTCCCGTTTTCCCGAACCCATCCAACGGCGGCTAGGGTCCTTAAATAGTGGTATATAGGAAAGTGTACCTTGCTACTGTCCTAACCGCACTCAGCGAGATCGCAACCTGTCCTGTTCCCATATACCGGATTACTCATGTAGTAATGTAACCTATGGTCATATATGTTTTTTCCCATGGTCATGTACCTATGGTCATGTGTGCGTTTATCCTATGGTCATAGTCCATGTTTTTGCCTTTCTCATGCCCTTGTGAGCCAGATGTACTGACAATGAGTGATTGTCTGATATTAGGTCGTTTCCCTGGATGTCCTGTTATTTCCGGCTTAGGCCGTTATATAAGCTCATGTTTACTTGTTATTTGTTAGTTCTTAGCTGAGTATTATTAAAGTGGCTAAAACCCGATATTCATTACGTCTTACGGATAGTGTAAGCGTAACATATTGAACGGAAGCTAGTTTCTATTTTGAGAGAAAAACGGGTCATTGCTCAAGTCAAAAAAAGTCCTGTGCTCGATTCATTTTCTCGTAGAATTAAGCTGAGTTTCTACTCGTTTGCACCCCTCTTGCGAGAAAAAAACACTACTGCGGACTCGTAAACAGTTCTATAGTGTACGTTACTGCTTTTGGTGCTCAGAACATTGAATTACACCGATTTAAACTCAAATGTGCGCAATAACCGGCTGCTGCACTATCACCGAAAAAGTTTAAAACTCGGACGCGTCAAATAATTCACCTATCTATCCGATTCGACCAAATTTACCATTATGGTAATCTATATCTAAGGATCATTCTGAACCATTATGGTGATGATACCCAAAACAAAGATGCAATGAATTTTCGAAAATTTTAAACTCTTATAACTTGGTCAATTTACATCTGACCAGCTTAATTTTGGTTCAGAATGTGTATGGGAATTTACTCCATGTGATGGAGCGATCAAACTTGGAGTCGGATAAAACACCGAATTATTTGCTCACATTTGCTATTTTGAGAAAATGACTTTTTTGTGAACGGTATAGACTAAGCTAAACAGCAAGCTTATTCTTAGTGCGAGTGCTGCGCATCCTGTTGTGTCCCGGCCTCTTCGGGTCACGTATTGTTTCAGCTGAGCAGGAATAACTCTCTGACACTAAAGCGCCAGTGGTGAATGGAGATGGAGATGAAAACGGCAATAAATTTCATTGTTCTACCTGATCATTTATGATAGCGCGCGTATCTTCTGGTTCTTGTACAATCATTTGCTGCCGCTGATAATTTCGTGGCTTGTCGTCAGCAAACTTGCAATCCCGCCAGAACAGAGATGTCTCCTCTTCTGCGTAGTATTAAAGCCTTGTAAAAGGTTTCTGCTCGATCATAGTTTTTAAAATAGGTAACGGTGTACAATTTTTTCATGAAAGCTTGATTCACATCAGTAGATAGAGAAATGAATTCTCTATCGATTCCTGTGTAATTTAAAATGGCGTAATGTGAGTTGAAATTCACCTTAACATACTAAACGGAGAAAAGTTATCCTGTCCTCAGTACGAAAATGGTCCTGTTCTCATCTTAAATTTTTTGCATGTCTCAAGAACTGTTTTTTACTGCCGAAAAACCTAAATAAACTGCGAGACCATGCGGGATTACTCGGTTGATTTATGGTGCTGTTAAGGATAAACGCGGGTATATCCTCTTGTTACCGGAAAGATGCTGATGCTAAATGGTCCTGGTATTGTGGTACGGGTATGGTATCGGTATCAAAGACCAAATACAGTTTACCGTACTGTTGTATACGGCATTCCTTACGGTCAAGCCGTACGAAACCGAATGCGAAAATAATACGCTCGAAAATTTGCCGTACGTAACCACAAGTCAACAACACGGTTTTACAACGGGCTAATTGTATACGGCACGGTCAAACCGTTTATTTCTGCCGTGACCGTACCATGCCGCAGGAACCGTAAAAAAAACCGTAAGGCGGCAACGCCTTTTTTCAAGTTCAGGTCTTTCGCTAAAAACATCAGCTGCCGGAACTACTACCAAATTTCAAGAAAACGTTCTCGCATGCTATTGCTGTGTAAATGAACAGGGAGGCGGTTGGAGGATGCGAGTGAACTACTGTTCTGATATTCCCTGAGAGTAATTTTCAAAATATTATGGTTTCCGTTAATGCGGGTGGGTTACATATTTCTATGTATGTTAGTACATGCGGTGTACGGGTGGGGGTTTCGCTCTTTTGACTTTTAATGAATCTCCCTGTTCTTTCTTATATTGTGTTTTACGCTCAAACAACATATTACCGCAGGACTCTCCAGGTATATTTATTGCTATAGTACAGGGCTCATGCAGCGCACCGCTGACAAACGGTGCGAGTAATAATTTATGAGAAAGTAATCCATAAGCATTATTGTTTAACCAGATGGTAAGTTTTTGACGTTCCTGTTGGGTGTTATTTTGCTATGGTTAGTGGTAAAGCGTTAACGACGGACACATTAAAGTTACTTTTTAAATGTGCTGTACAGGTTTTCAAATACGGATTGATTTATCCCGCGAAATTAACCCGCTAGTTAGAAACGTTAGAATCTAATGTTTCTAAATTGCGGGGTTTCTTAGCAATTATTCAGCGTTTCTAATTAATCTAATTAATTAATTAGCGTAAACGTTAGCGGTTAGATCGCTAAATTAGAGAATTAGGCGCCGTGCCAAAGCATGGCTTAAGTGCTATCGTTACTATGACATTGGATGTACATGATTCAAAGCAACGCTGCACTTATCTTTGCTATCGGAAAGCTGCTAAGATACCAATTATGTACATTATGATTACTGACCGTTTCAGCACATGAGATTTCTGCTGCTTAACTGCTGAATAGATTAATAAGTTGTGGTGCCGTAGTAAGACGGCACCTTAGCAGTTAGCACCTTAGGGCTTAGTTCAGAACTGCTGTGCTTTTATTTAACGCTGCTCAGTAATGTAATGTTAACCTTTGGTACACCTAAACCACTGGTGAAGCATCATTACTAAAACAGCATTAGCGTCCCAGGGCATTGCTAGTATGCTACTTTGCTACAACAATAGTGACTTCGGACTTCAGCGGGCACTGGGCAACCTTTTAACTTAACGGTGCGCCTCAATGCTGAGTGCCCTAATTCAATATTTTTTTTGGTAACGCTCCTAAGCTTACTAAGGCACTACAGTTTAGCATTACGTTGACATAGTGCTTACTGCTTAGTGCGTGACCGACAGCTTAAGGCGTGACCGACACTAAGGGCCTGACCGACGTGCGTGACCGACGGACAAAAATTCCCGTTTTCTTGAACATATAGGACCTTCGCTTCGCTTCCGTCGACAAACAGGCAGAAAAGATGTCCTGTTCTTGATTGAAAAATCGTCCTGTTCTCGTGTTAATGTTCTTTTGTTAGCAATCGGCATGTTTTTATATTGAAAAGAGCTAATTTTTGCTTTGTGCGGAAGAAAAGTGGGTTTCGGCTCATGTCGAAAATCTTTTGTGCTGCGTTCATTTTCTCGTAGACTTAACATACAAAACGAGGGACAAGTTGTCCTGTCCTCAGTTCGAAAGTTGTACTCTCCTCATGCGCAATTTTTACTACCGTAACTGTCGAATTAGAAGCCCAGGGTTACAAATATTTCAAATGACCCACGGGGTGGGCTCCAATTACCGGCATGGGCTTGTATTTACTATTTAGGGAGGGCGCCTTTTCCAAACCAGCTTTTTGGCATTTTTTTAATATGGGCTTTACGGTATTTAATTAAGCCATTCAATTAAACCCATGGGCCTCTTTTTACGGGGGGGCATAAAACTTGTAAACAACCTAAGGGGTGGGCTCTAATTACGGGGGAAGGGGGCTTCAAATTCGATAATTACGGTATGTGTCGAGAACTGTTTTTAGGACGTTATGAAAGAAGCTAATTTGTAACTTGCGTTAAGTGCAAAAAGCAAGCGATTAGGTAACAATTAACAAAGCAGTCCCGGTTAAAATAAAAAAACGATTGGACTGTTTCTTTTATTTATTATTACTGTTTAGTACCAAAAGGCAGAGTAGTAAAGTCAGCAAGCTACATGCGTTTATCGTAAACCATTCTCAATTTTTTGAACAGCTGAACCGTGTTTATCTCTTGGGTCTTGCCGTTCCGTTTGACGAATTCAGGGTAGATGATCTGATCAAGGGATTCCGTACCGTCCAAGAGGTACTTGAGTTTGTCAAAGTCTAAGGTCTGTCCGGTCCTGGCGAATGATTTGGTGAACTCATCGAAATCCAAGATATCTTCCCTGTACCCGTTTTGCGTGAGGCCTTTTGCCTACGAGTAGTAAGAAAACGTATATACCGTACCTAGAAAAACATATATGTTACCTTCAACTCGATCCGGCCAGTGTCAGTCTCGTAGCTGTACACCTTCGGACCGCACGACACAAACTTCACGATGTGGCTCTCCCCGGCCTGCAACTGATTGTTCCAGTCGCCCAGGATGCTGCCCATCTCTGGCACCCAGTCTCCGGGGCGGGTGAGAAAGACGACTGAATCCGTATCGTAGTACATCAATCGGTCGCCCAGTTTCTCCATCATGTCCAGAAGGATGAGGCGGGCATTAGCAGTGGTGAACGCGTCTAAGGCGACGTTCGTAGCGTTACTACCTTCGTTGTAGTCTTCTCCGTTGGAGTAGGTCACCATGAGACAGTCGTCGTTAATGGCAAACACGTCATGAATTTCAACGGCCTTGGAGCGGATCATGTCCAAATAACCTTAGTCTTGTAGACGAACTTGGTCATAGTCATATCATCCCGCTGTCCCTGCTTGCCCCACAGATAGTTAAGACAATTCTTGGCCACATTACGCCGCCCAGCATCGTAGATCATGGCTTCCGGATCGAGATCGATCCCTTCACGCTTTTTAACCTGGCGCAGATATTCGGACTTTTTGCAGAGGAGTTTTGCACCAGCTAGGCCACCCGCTCGCCTCCATTTTGATTTTCAGGAACTTGTTGATGTATGCAGCATAAACACCGGCTTCCATGGTGTCCCAGTGCCATACCTCGTAAACTTTCTGTACGACGTAGCCCCGGTCGATGGCGTGGTGAAGTTCCGGTGTAGTCCATACCCCCTCAAGGCAGCGGTCAGCGTCACTATGCTGGCAATAGTCGTTACTTTTGGTGTCGGCATACGTTCGACAAAGAGCGAATACCAACTTTTTGTTGATAGCAGCAGGGAGAACAGGCTACAAACACTGCTGTGGTGGTAGTACCTTGCACGACACCAAGCCATAATACTCCCTCACGTCCTTGAAATCCGACAAGATAATCGTTGGGTGACCGATGGGGTATGTTTTGGTCTTATTAACGAAAGGATACAAGCTAACAACATCGAAGTGCATAATCATTTCCCCCGGCTTCACTGTGTAGTACAAGCGACTGGCATTAGTGCGGCCACCTTTAAAGGCGTCCCGAGGATTAAGCGGTTTGCGCAGTCTTTGGCCAGACAGGAAGGAAGCAATATCAGCTTCTTGACGTTCCCTCTTCCATTCGCACTCCAACTTCGTGACAACTGTATACTTCTCATCTTCCAGGAATCGCACACGATCCAGGTACTAATCGTACACCTCGCTCGTCGTTTTACGAGAGAAAGGCGACCGACCTTCCTCATCGGTACATTCGGGATGTCCGTGGAATACACAACCGTTATACTCGTATACTGTACGAATAGCGGCATCGTAGCCATCAACGTAGTACGGACCAATGTGCACTTCTTTGCCATTGCGGCCCACCCAAGTCACGGTTAAGCACTTCCAACTAATGAGTTGCCTGAACACTGGTGTGTCGGTTGCGGTGAGGACCATGGACGGACAGTCCAGCAATCTTGTTCGATTCCAAGTGATACGTACGGTAGTACCGATTACAAACCGATGACATTGTAATGATGTCCAAGGGGTTCAAGTTTGTCAGAGCAATAAAATCATCAACAAACCTGAGAGCACAGCGTCGAAGAACTGTAACATCATTCGAACACTACGACATGATTTCCGCACGGAAGTCGAACTGTCCACCCGCTGCGGCTTTTGCTTCGGCATTCCACTTGAGGAATTTTTCGTTGTCCTTCCTCTTTAAGCCGACAAAAACATACATTTCCGGGTCAGGCCACGGCAACAGTTTATCCCAGTTCTCAGGGCGGTTGAAATGATGTGGAAGGTCACCTTTCTCTACAACAACTCCCAGGCCAACCGCCTTGGGTAAGCTGCTCAACTTCATGGGTAGGAAATTGAGAGTGCCACGGAAACACATATTAAGAGATCGATACCGCAACTCCAAGAGCTGACTTCCTCTCTTTGTTACCTCCGCCCCGTGTAGTCTGTTGTCCAAAAGGCACTTTAAGATAAAGTGACCGTTGTAACCGCGGAAGTTGTGTGCAATGATCGTATGCCGATTGTGCTTCTCTGATAACAACCATACACCAAACCGTGGAGCAACATCCTGAGTCATTGGTTGACCAACCTCCGGAAATCGGAATTCTGTTCCATCTTCATACTGGGCGACAACGCAGCTCGGAGTAAGTCCTTTGACCGGATCGTTGTACGTTTCGTAATCGAAAAAAATATACCGCTTTGACGGTTCCGGCTGATCTGGCAAAAGCTGCGTTGGCTTCGGAAACACTTTCAGGTAGCACTTATGGTTTGCTTGTTGAACCCAATCACGGCAAACTGTGCAAAACATCTCCCCACACTGATGCTTTCCATTTGGTCGACGTGTTAAGTTCACAAAGCGGCGACAGTCTTTACAATAAAAAATCTGAGAACAAAAAGGTTTTTCGTTTTTACGCTTATTTTTGTGGATGTTGAAGCGTTCCTGGTTATTAAACGTCCGACGACAGTAGCTACAGCGAATAACAATCCCTTCCACGCAGTCATTGACCGACCGATAACAAAAGCGACAGTTACCACCGCATCGGTGCCGCTCT